TAAGAGAAGTCAATAGCAGTCTTGAATAATCAGATCCCTTCTGCCAGGTTGTTTAATATCAATTTATTTTCTGGCACTGCTTCTTTTACATCTTTTTTCTCATCTGGCACTGGTTTGGAAGCCCTCATCTCTATCAAGTTGTCTTCTGTTAATTCTTCTGGTGTGGTGTTCATTAGCTTTTAAATTTCTCTAAGATCCATACCTTGAAACTCTTCACCCTTCACCCTTTTTGCTATATCCACAATTTTTTTATTATTACTTTAAAAAAATTTTTAATGTTTATTTATTTTTGACAGAGAAGTGCGCGCATGCGCTAGAACATGAGTGGGGGAGGAGCAGAGAGAGAGGGAGACACAGAATCTGAAGCAGGCTCCAGGCTCTGAGCTGTTAGCACAGAGCCCGACACTGGGCTCGAACTCACAGACTGCGTGATCATGACCTGAGCCGAACCGAACACTCAACTGACTGAGCCACCCAGGCGCCCCACTATATCCACAGTCTTTTCCATGATTCCCCCCTTTTAAAAAAAGTCGTTTTTTTCAAGTAGTCTCCATGCCCATTGTGGGGCTTGAACTCAAAACCTTAAGATGAAGAGTCACATGTTCTACTGAGTAAGCTAGCCAGGCTCCCCTCCATGATTCCCTTGATTGGCTCTGTTGTAAGTCCTGTGAAGTCACGTACAACATCTGGACACATTTTTTTACAGCAGGAGTTTATTGTTTCAGGCTTGATGGCTTTCATGGCTCTTTCTTTTTTTTTTTAATTTTTTTTTTTTTCAACGTTTATTTATTTTTGGGACAGAGAGAGACAGAGCATGAACGGGGGAGGGGCAGAGAGAGAGGGAGACACAGAATCGGAAACAGGCTCCAGGCTCTGAGCCATCAGCCCAGAGCCCGACGCGGGGCTCGAACTCACGGACCGCGAGATCGTGACCTGGCTGAAGTCGGACGCTTAACCGACTGCGCCACCCAGGCGCCCCTCATGGCTCTTTCTATAATAATGATGGCATTTCAGTGGTATAATCCTTCCGGACTTTTCATGATGTTCTCGTGGAATTCTCTTCCATAGTGTTGACAATCCTTTCCAAAGAACACCATGTGTAATGAGCTTTAAAGGTCCTTATGACCCCCCTGATCTAGAGGCTGATTATAGAAATGTTGTATTTGGGGGCAAGTAAATCACTTTGATGCCCTTGGTGTTGAACTCATGGGGTTCTGGGTGACCAGAGACATTGTCCAATATCAAAAAGAACTTTAAAAGACAGTCCCTTAGTAGCAAGGTATTTCCTGACTTCAGGCATCAATGGAATCAAGCCAGAAAAAGGATTCTTGTTGTCCAGACCTTGTTATATAACCAAAAGACTGGCAGCTCGTGTCTGTCTTTTCCTTTCAAGGCTTGGGGATTAGCAGCTTTATAGATAAGGGCAGTCCTGATCATAAACTTGACTGCATTTGCACAAAAGAGTAGAGTTAGCCTATCCCTTCCTGCCTCAAACCCCAGAGCTTGCTTCTCTTCCTTACTAATAAATACCCTTTTTGGGATTTTTTCCCCCCACGAGAATAAGGCGCTTGTGTCTGCATCAAAAACCTGTTCAGGCAGGTTTCTTTTCAGTGCTTTTTTCAGTGGCATCTGGGAACTTGTCTGCTGTGTTTTGGTCGGTGGCAGCTATTTCTCCTGTTATCTTGACGTGTTGTAAGCCAGTCCTCTTTCTAAAATCATGATACTATCCTTTGCTGGCATTAAATTATCCTGCTTTAGATCTTTCATCTTCCTTTTGCTTTAGGTTGTCATATAATGACTTCACTTTTTTCTTGAATCATATTAGAGTGTAGTGTATCCTACACCCATGTAAAAGCTGCATTTTCAATATGAAATAAAAAGGTATTTTTCAAAAAGTGCAAGGTTTTTGCACCTGTTGGCATAGCTGCAGCGGTGTCTTCACGAATTTTCTCTATTTACAGTGGTCCTTATGCTGGATTCGTTTATCTTGAAGCAGCAGGCAACTGTAGCTGTAAAACTCGATCTGTAGTACATATCAAGCAATTCAGCTTTTTCTTGTTAATGTCATGACTTTTCTTTGATTCCTGGAAGCACTTCAAGCAACCTAGTGGCACTTTGTATGGGTCCCATGATGTTATTCAAGGATTACAGTATTACACTAAACACAATGAAAAATACTCAAGAACTGCAAGAGGTTACTTTGTGCTGCAGTATGCAGTTTACTGGAGAGACGAACTGCTCACATGGAGATAGGTAGCATGGTACAGTGTTTTAAGTGGATACTCAAAACACGGGCTCATGGCAGTGGCAATAGGAAGTGATATGAAATTATTCTAGTACCACAGTGTGTGCTACAATTCATTTTATGCAGTTATGATTTAACACTGCATCTTTACATTTCTCTCAACTGCAAATGGCATTGTGTATGCTCTTATGTCTTTTTTTTTTTT